CATCCTCAAGCAAGGCAGACAGGTTGGTCCGTGTTGGCAGCATCTCCAGCTTCTCTATCCCTTTCCCCAGAACCTTCCTTTGGTTTTTCTCCTCTTCACTTACCCAGATTTCCATTGTTTCCCTCCCCGACTTTTCAAGCCAAGCAAGCCAGAGCCATTCATCCTCCTCCGTGCAGGAAAAGGGCACAAACCGGGAGGTGGAAGAGGCAAAGAGGAGCCCAAACGGGTTGTAAACACGTGGCCCAGAGGCCTCCCAACTTGACATCTCTCTCCCCCTGGTTTTTTTTGGGTTTGCTTCCCACAGAACCTCTGGTTTGCCAACCCTGGGGGCAGCAACAGCATGCCCAGCCGCAGCCACAGCTCCGTGCAGAGGACGCGCTCGCTGCCGGTCCACACCTCCCCGCAGACCATGCTGATGTTCCAGCAGCCAGGTAGGAACTAGAGCTTTGGTGGTTGTTGGGTTTGTTGGGTTGTTTTTTTTTCACCAAAAAAGGCAGTAGCTCTTCCGTCGCCTTCTTTTGCTCTCGTAGGATTGTTAAGGTTGGAAAGGACCTTAAAGATCATCTAGTTCCAACCCCCCTGCTATGAGCAGGGAACCCCACCACCTGGAATCATTAAGGTTGGAAAGGACCTTACAGATCATCTAGTTCCAACCCCCCTGCTATGAGCAGGGAACCCCACCACCTGGAATCATTAAGGTTGGAAAGGACCTTACAGATCATCTAGTTCCAACCCCCCTGCTATGAGCAGGGAACCCCACCACCTGGAATCATAGAATCATTAAGGTTGGAAGGGACCTTAAAGATCAATGGACATGGAAGCGCAGAGGGACCACGGGGGAAATTCTCTTCGCAGTGCATGTGGAGGGAGATGTTGCTGTGTCAGTGCTTCCTTCCCAAACACCACCATTCTTTTTTTTCTGGACCCTGTGGCTGGAGCATCTTTCCCATGAGGACATTCATGCCTTTTTCCCCTCTCCTCTAGTGGGAGGTGTCCCTGTCTACACAGGGGAGTTGGAACTAGATGATCTTCAAGTTCCCTTCCAACCCAAACCAACTCTGATTCTGTGTTTTTATCCTTTCACTGGCTTTGTAAGTGTGCCTTTTCTTACCATAACATTTCATACCGTGGGGTGGGGGTGTTACACACTCCCCCCCCCCCCACCAAACAACAAACCTCATCCATAAGCTTCTGCCATGGTTTCAGCTCAGCAGCTCCCTTGGCATCACGTGCCTGTGGTGTTTTAGCTGCACAGTTTGGGCAGCAAATGTCCTGTACAGCAAAAGCAGCGTCTGTTCCCGGGTTATCGATCAAACACCAGGACAAGGGCACGTTTCTGCAGGCTCTGAGAGAGGATGAATAGGTTTCTCTTTGCCTCTTAGCCTGCAGTGAATGAGGGCGTAGGAGGATCAGGGAGCCAAAGATGTGGACTGAGTCGTGAGGAAAATAAGCAGTAATATGATGCTGGGCTCCCAAGCTACCTTTTGGCAGGATCTCAGCCCTCCTGGATCTCCTCCCACAGTCCTGAGAGCCAGTGGAAAGGAGGAGGGGTCATCCTGTGGTAGCAAAAGCTTTGTTTGCAGCTTCTGGTGCAGAGGAGAGTGATGTTTTGGTGTTGTGTGGTCAGGCCAGGGCCTTGCAGCACAGCAGACTTTGTGTGTCCCCCCTTCTGTTTTTTTGTGCTTACCCCCCAGGGATGTAGCAGGAGGGCCATGAGTGGCCAAGGCAGCCATGGAGAAGCCAGAGGGCAGCTCTGCTGGTCTTTGCTGCCATCCCATGTCTGAAGCACTAACCCTGCCTGCACAGGCAGCACCCGACCCTGCTGGATTCATAGGGAGGATTTTTGCATGTCCTGAGCAAACAAAGAGCTTGGGGAGGTCCCCTCTGCCCCACACACACCCCCAGCATCTCTAACCAGCACCTGAACCCCTCATTTCCACCCCCCTTCTAGTACCAGGCTGGTAACCCCCAGGATTTACCCCTTAGCAATCAGAAGCAGGGACCATATCTGCAAACACCTCCTGCCAGAGGTGATTGCACTGGGAAGCCAAGCACGGCCAGACACACCCGTGGAATCATAGAATCCCAGGTTGGTTTGCATTGGAAGGAGCCTTCAAGATCATCTAGTTCCAACACCTCTGCCATGAGCAGGGACACCTCCCACTAGACCAGGTTGCTTCAAGCCACATCCAACACTTCCAGGGATGGGGCAGCCACAGCTTCTCTGGGCAACCTGGGCCAGGGTCTCACCACCCTCACAGCAAAGAACTTCTTTCCAGTATCTCATCTAAATCTTCCCTCTTTCAGCTTAAAACAGTTCTCCCTCATCCTGTCACTTCACGTCCCTCCCCAGAAGGTCCTATGCAGTCAGACCTTCCTGGGTCATCTTCAGTTGGTTTTCTACCCCCTGTGTGCTCATGCCAGTGGCAGCAGAGCGGACAGGGTCCCCTAAGAGATCCCCTGACCAAGGTCTTCTGTCCCTTTGTCCCCTCAGAGTTCCAGGTGCCGGTGACTGAACCTGACATCAACAACAGGCTGGAGTCCCTGTGCCTGAGCATGACGGAGCACGCGCTCAGCGGTGAGCACTCCCTCCTCCTGGGGCTCTTCCAGCACGTCCACGCCACCTCCTCCGAGCCCCCCGGCCCCTGCCCCCCACCCCCCAAAACCTGGGACAGGCTCTGGCTGTGAGGGGACGGGCTGGTGGCAGGGCTGGATGCGGGGATGCTCCCAAGGGGAGTCAGGTGGGGACAGTGGCTTCTCTCGGCAAAGCTGCCGGGGCAGAGGGGGAAAACCAAAGGCAGGGACGAGTGCAGTCCATGCTTATTAGCCACTAGTTAGCTTGCTAATAATAATTAGCATTGGCTTGCTAGTTTGTTATTAGTTCTCAGTAAATCCCTTGCCACCAGCGTGCTCGAGTGGGTCACAGGCTGGGGGAGGGTTTTATCCTCCTGCCACCTGTGAATTTGGCCAGGGGGGTGCGGGAGCCCCGAGACACAGGGGTTCAGACCCTGCCGGGGGCTGTGCTGGCTCCTGGCTGCTGCCTGGGGCAGCTGTGGGTGCCAGCCCTGGCGGGTGGGTCGTGGGCACGGGGAGGGAGCAGGACCAGGTGGAAAAACCAGCCTGGGAAGATGGAAGAGGCAGCGGGATGGAGAGGCCGACACAGCAAAAAGCAGCAGCTCCAGCAGCGCCCGGTGCCCCTCGCTGGCCCCCCAAGGAGGAAGGATGACGCCCTCAGACCCTCCCCAGTGTCCAGCTGGGCTCTCATCCCTGGACTGCATCAGCTGGCTGAGGACGGGAGACCTTCAGGGAGGATGGTGCTGCTGGGATCCCACCTCCCTGCAGCCGTGTGACAGCCCATCCCTGGGACAGGGACACCGGAGCAAGGACTGGAAGAGGCAGGAGTGCCCCCGCAGCGACACACCCACCGCC